CAATCAGAGAGCAGAACACAAGCGGAAGCGGAGTCACAAAATGTCCTGATGAAGCAGCGCTCATCATCATCATCATCTGGAAGGGTCCAGTTCATCAGCTCTAATTAAAACTATAAATTAAAGGGACAGTGCACCTAAAAATGATCACTCTGTCATCAATCAATCACCATGAGGTTGTTCCAAACTGGTGTGAATATTTTGAAGAATGTTGGTAAACAAACAGTTGCTGGTAGCCATTGACTTCCATTGTATTTTTTCTATACTATTAAAGTCAATGGCTACCGTCAACTACTTTTCAAAATATCTATTCAGATTTTTAACAGAAATTATATTCTAGGGCCCTGTGAAATACCTTGTATCAGTTGTTAAACACATCAGAAGATATTTTGGTCCCCACTGACTTTCAATAGTATTTTTTTCCTTACTATGAAAGTCAATGGCTACCGTCAACTGTTTGGTTACATACACATATTCTTCAAAGTATACATTTATGTGCTTTTTTTTTAATGTGCCATTCTGCTGTCTTCAACAATTCAGATATATTTTAAGAATGCTGGAAAACAAATATTTGCTGGTAGCCATTGACTTCCATAGTATCTTTCCCTATTATAGAAGTCAATGGCTACCGTCAACTAACATTCTTCAAAATATCTATTCAGATTTTTAACAGAAATTATATTTCAGGGCTCTGTGAAACATCTTGTATAAATTCTCAAACACAACAGATGATTTTTTTGGTCCTCATTGACTTCCATAGTGTTTTTTTCCCTTACTATGAAAGTCAACGGCTACCGTCAACTGTTTGGTTACACACATTCTTCAAAATATTTTTTTTTGTATTTTTTTTTTTTACAAAAATGAATGTTATGGCCCTATGAAATATCTTCTGTCGTGTTCAACAATTCAGATATATTTTTAAAATGTTTGTAACCAAATATTTGCTGGTACCCATTGACTTCCATAGTATTTTTCCCTAGTATGGAACTCAATGGCTCAATTTGTTTATCAACATTCTTCTAAATATCTTCTTTTGTGTTGTGTACAGAAGAAAGAAACTCGTGCAGGTTTGATCAACTTGAAGGCGAGTAAATGAAGACAGAATGACTCTTTTTTGGTGAACTGTCCCTTTAAGTAGAAATCAACACAAACATTCCTATCGTTCCGTCAGGAATCGTATTCTCCATAAAGTAAGGTTTCGCTCTACAGCACAAACTCACTGCATGATTCTCTATACAGCTGTGATGAAGCACAAACAGAAGGTCTTTCTCCTCTGAACAAATCAAATCAGCACGCTTCACTGTGATTGGTCGGCCGTGGGGCTGGCCGCCGCCCCCTCGTCGTTGCTGCTGTCCACTTCCTGTTCCATGGCAGCTTCCTCGTCCAGACGCTGGCTGGTGAAGTCGGTGATCTCCAGGAAGCCGCTGGGCTCCACCACCACGTTTGATTGGCTGGAGTCGGGCATGATGGAGTACTGCGGGATCACCTGACCACAAACACACATCACATGACCTCAGCAACATCAATACAGCCACAGCATGGAATGTACTGTGTAGGGTACTTATTATTTTCCTCTAAACCACTAGAGGCACAAAAACGTGGCGTGGCACTTTCCAAAACATTCGCTTTTCAAGATGCACGTGCAAATTTGGCAAAGTTGATTCTGTGCTTACCTGATCTAATATTTGATGTTTTTTTAAACGGTGCAGATTTAAGTAGCAAATGAGAATCGCTCAAATGTATGCATATATTTTGAGACAAAGGTCTTCTTAAAGATTTTCAGTTTTAAGATAAAGCAACAGTTTTTAAATAACGAAAGAATATGTAAAAGTACACTGCAATAAATTATCCTCTGACTTAGTCTTGTTTTCTAGTATAAATATATAAACATTCTAGAAAACAAGACAAAAATATATTTTTTGCAGTGTATGCTGTTGGGGCTAAAGGCGCAGTAATTAACATGATAATTAATAGATGGCTGACTTTTCCATTTGTTGACATGACACATGGTTAGATTCAGATGGTAAATATCATATATTATGTTGGGCGTCCATATTAGAGATAATCACCAAGTTTAGAATGAAACCATAATTTAAAAACATCATATTAATCATATCATATAATAAAATAGCATTTGTTGTTACTACTGTAAATCTATATTAATTTATTATGGGATCTCCTTCAATGCTTTCAGAATCTTTACTTTTTAAAATGATTTTGTTTCTGTATTTTAAAATACAGTGTGTGTGTGAGTGAGTGAGTGTGTGTGTGTTATGTGTGTGTGTGTGTCTGTGAGTGTGTGTGTGTGAGAATGTGTGTCTGTGAGTGTGTGTGTGTGTGTGAGAGTGTGTGTGAGTTATGTGTGTGTGTGTGTGTGAGAGAGTGTGTGTCTGTGAGTGTGTGTGTTTGAGAATGTGTGTATGTGAGAGAGTGTGTGTTTGTGTGTTATGTGTGTGAATGTGTGTGTGTGTGTTTGTGTCTGTGAGTGTGTGTGTGTGAGTGT